GGTAAAAAATTTTTTTTTAGGGACAATTTTTTGAAAAATCATATAAAAAAAAATAACGACTAGCAAATATTTTTTATGAACTAGCAAATATCTTCAAAACATTCTCAATGAGGAAAAAAATGAAAATTTGAAAAATATCGACGAGGGGGGCTAATTGAACGGATCTCGTGGATTTCCTGGATCTCCAGGCGAAAGGACACATTCAGGAGAAGATTTCGTGAGGATTTCGGAGGGAACAATAATCCCTGATATCATTGAGATGTTCGGGAGGTTCGTCAAGGCCAGCCATCGACGCATTTCGGTAGACAAATTCTTCTTTTAACTATAAATTAATCTTTTGTCACTCCCCAATTACAAAATCAATATTTGTTTCATAATAATGTCTAGCGAATTTTTATTTTTAAAACTCTGGCTCAATAACTAGTTTAACAAATTATTTTATTAATTATTATTTGTGATTATTGTTATTTTGAATGTGAACTTATTGGATTTGATAATTATAGTAGTTTAATGTAATGATGTAATTAATTGAGAATTCTTTGAGGGTTTATCGATTTTGATTTAATTTTGAAGTTGTCGAATTTGGGGCTTCGATTTTTTTTTTTGGGGATGAGAAAAATTGCACCTGTCAAAATTTTCCAGTTGCTGTCGCGGGTGTGGAACGGTCAGTCTGGAGCACTGGCTGGAAAACAGGCTGAGGAGAAGATGATAACGCTGCTGAGGGATAAATTCCCAAAAGCAGAGACCATTGAAGTCACTGACATCTCAGGTATGTGTCTAACGTATTACAATATTATATATAAAAAATATATAATATTGTATATAAATATAAAAATATATACTATAAAAAAGATTTTTACGAAAATTTCGCTGTCTGATTATCAGAGATATTAATCGAACACTTATGTAATTGCTAATTCAAGTTGTCGCGGGTTTTTCGGGGGGAAATCTTGTTTTTATTCATTTTTGGGGTTTGTGTTTCCAGGGGGATGTGGAGCCATGTTCGAGATTAGTGTCATAGCCCCTGAGTTCAAAGGGTTGAACACAGTGAAGCAACATCGACTGATTAATGAAGTAATTACACTCTCCTGATACTTTTTCAAAAATTTTGAATTTTCAAATTCCAGTGAATACCTCCTCGGATTTCCTGTTCTCCTAATACTTTTTCAAAAATTTTGAATTTTCAAATTTCAGTGAATACCTCCTCAATTTTCATGCTCCCCTGATACTTTTTCAAAAATTTTGAATTTTTAAATTTCACTGAATACCTCCTCGGATCTCCTGTTCTCCTGATAATTTTTCAAAAATTTTGAATTTTCAAATTTCAGCGAATACCTCCTCAATTGTCATGCTCTCCTGATACTTTTTCAAAAATTTTGAATTTTCAAATTTCAGTGAATACCTCCTTGGATCTCCTGTTCTCCTGATACTCTTTGTTTAAGGGTTAATTGGATTTGTCAATTCTTTTTGACTTCGAGTCCTATTTTTTATCAATCAATTAATTTCATTCTCTGTTATTTCAGATACTGAAAGCTGAGATAAAGGATATGCATGGCATCAGGATCCACACGAGGCCCTCATCTTAGAAATATTCATAAAATAATGTGAAATCTGTCAAAATAAAATTGTAAATATATTGTATCTCATTAAATTAAAATAAAAAATCTTCACCGAGAATTCCCTATAATATTATTATGATATATGGAAAGCTGCAAATTATTATTATTAATTATAAAAAAACCGCGCAGAATGTTCTCGATTTTTTTTAACTAAAATTCAGTCGTCGAAGCAAAAAATACTTCAACTCAATTTTCTAGCTCATCAATATTTAATCAATTATTTATTAAATAGAGCGAATTAATTGGTAAATTGAATTTTTAATCACGTGCTCAGTTCCCGCTCATTTTTCGGGTCTGTAGTGAATTCGGCCTTGACCCGAAGAGAACAGCTGATCATCAGAGGTTAGGATTGGAAAAAGAAAGCGAAGATATCCAGTGGAGGATAAATTACAAATAAAGAGAAGATTTTTACCCCAAATTGCTGTAATGCATGAAACGTTTCATGACGATCCCACGGACGTATCGAAACGAAAACCTAGAAGATTGAGAGGAACTCCAGCCAATAAGTGGAGCATTGGATTGAGCTTCGGAACTGTTGTCATAGTTTCTACACTATTGCAATTATTCGTGTGAGATGATTATTTAAGTTTACAGAAGACCTAATTAAGCCATTGAATAATAATACCAAAATTTTATTTCTTTTCAATTATTTTGGTGGAATGGTTTTTTCTATAGTGTAAATTTCACGTCAAATTTTTTCTTGGATTTGCATGTCCAAACTTCATTTGAATGTAAAATTATTTTTTCCACATAACTATGATTAATAATAATAATAATAATAATGAATAATAAATAATTTGAAGGCAGAGATAATTGATAGATAATTTGTGTAAAGATGGTACAACAATTTTTTTTAGTTGAGGTTTCAATTTTTTTTTGGTGTAGAGAATCTGTTGTGAGTATAAAATAAAAATAATTTTATTTATGTTCTATATATTGATAATAATGACTGAATAATAATTGAATGATACCGAATTAATTATTAGTCATTGATGTTTTTTTTATTTAAATGGTTTTTTGATAAAATAATGCCGAAGATCTTTAAGCAGGTTAAAATTACTTTTTATATTGAGATTTTTCGTGAAATTAGTGTAGAATTGAATTTTTATTTGTAGAAATTCTCGCCTGTCCGATAAAGCGAAGAAAAAATTCGTGGTGGCCGCAACTGAAACTGAAGAGCAGAGGCTGCATGCTTTGATGATGAAGGACTTGTTCTTCAATTCGGTGGTAAAAACTCTCGAAATGAAAGAAACCGGCGACTTACCCATACGAGAAGATAATTAATCTTCCAGTTCTCACTCAACACCAGCAGAAATGTCGAAAAAACCTGAGAGACAGTCGCCCGAGGGGCGACTGCGTCTCAAAACCTCAGGCAAAAGGTACCTCGGGCAAGAATCAATCAAGATCTCTGTAAAAATCCGTACCTATTAAATTAAATGAGTATCACCTACGAATCTCGTCTTTTTATTCGTCAAGACATTTTTTTTTCAAATTGTTTTGATCAACTCCCCAATTCATCAATTAAAAAAATATTATTCAGTAGCAAAATGATAAAATGAGATAAATTGAATTAAATTCCTATTAATAATCGATCTATCTCGAGAACCATCGACTTATGGGAAAAAGGGTGGGGGACTTGTTTGCAGCTGATGAAATTTTCCACAAAAAAGATCTTTTGATATTTTCCTTCAAAAGCGGTAGTTTCTTTTAAATAAAGCGATATTTAAATAAAAAACAGTAAAATTCGTTGGAGTACCTAAATGAGAGAAAAATATTCCAATCAATTATCGATTTTTCTCGAAACCTATAGATCTAAGGTGAAAAAAGTATAGGAATTTTTTGTGGCTGATGAAATTTCTGACAAAAAAGAACTTTTGGTATTTTCTCGTAAAACCTATAGTTCCGGGATAAAAATTCAAATTACTTCACATTACCACTCGGCAACCGAACTATTTCTTCATTTAACTCAATTCCTTAATGAACTTCTTAATTATTCCACAGTGCATGTTCATCACGCCCCTCCGAGGAATCCTCAGTTCTGGACGACGCGGACGACAGTCTTGCGGACTTCAAGTCGCCAAAGCAGCCAGCAAAATCCGCGATTAAAATTGTGCGACCGAAGAGACAAAATCCCTCGAAGAAGTCCTCAAAGGCAAAAGCCGAGTCGCGAACTCGTGGAAAGCAGCAGTTAATTCCCTCCCTCTTCGCCAAAAAAGAGGCCGAAGAGTCGACATTCGTATGCCCCTTGTGCCTGAAGAGCTTCAGCGCCTCGGACATTCAGCTATTGCACACGAAGAACTGCGCCCTGAAGAACAACGTCTCGACGACGCGTTTGTTAGCAGCCGTGGAGCTCCAGGAGAAGCAGTCAATGGAGCGAAAGGCAATGGGACTGCCCTCGAAGCCAATGAATCCCAAACGAAAGGCTCCAGCGAGGAGATTACCCCCCGGAACTGATGACCCTGACATCCAACTCGCCCTGGCCCTCTCCAAATCCCTGGAGGAAGTCGAGAAGCTCGAGGAGCTGGACGAAGCGATTGCCCTCGCAGCTGGAACTGATGACAAAGTTCTGGAGATGACACGCAGCCAGAGAAGATCCACTCTGGTCTCCTTCGGCTTCTCTACGTCGAAACCAGCAGCTGAAATGCCTCGCAAGAAACGAAAAAAAGTCCTGGGGCCAACGATTCTCCAGAGTAGAACGCTGGAGGTGAGGGAGCAGATCCTCACCGAGAAGATTGCTGAAGTTCTCGTGGGCTCAGGGTCCATCACTCAGCAGATGAAGGACGGGAAAATTCCTAAGGAAACCCCAAAAGAACAGAGAGTGAAGAGGTATGGAAAGCTCAAGCGGTGGTGGAACGAGTCTGCCGATCTCTGGAGAAGATCTGATTGCCAGGGGAACGAAAGGTATTACGTGGAAGAACTCAGGGAGGCAATGGGCATAAAAGAATTTTGTGAAGATCTTGGGGCGGAGGGGAATGAAGATCTCCTTGAGAAGATCGGTGGAAGTGGCGAGAGGGATTTAAACAGCCAGGGGATCGGTGAAGATCGTTTGAGTGAGGATTTTGGGGATCTGAAGAGCTTTGATGAAAAATATCAGGAAATTATTGAAGAGGGTAAAAATGAAAAGTCAGGGTTTTTGAAGATCGGTGGAGATCGGGAGGGAATTAAAGAGAATGAATGTAAAAATTCAGATCTTCAAGAGATCGGTGAAGATCGTGAGATTGAAGAGGGGGGAAACAAAAATTCAGATCTTCAGAAGATCGATGAAGATCACGACTCAATTAATCGCTGGAGTGACGATTTTGATGTCGAGATTATTGAAGATCATAAGATTGTTGGAGATTGTGTAAATAAAAATGAAGATCTTCATACTGCTATTGAAGATCGATGGAGTGATTTAGATTTTGAGAATACCATCGACGCTAAAATTACTGAAAATACGAGCAATAAAAATAAAGCTCACGGGATTGAAGATCACTGGAGTGAAGATCTAGATTTCAAAAAAAAGACAAAAAATCATGAATTGACTGGACACAGCCATAAAAATTCAGACTCTCAGATGATTGAAGACAGTGAAGATCTGAAGACCATCGAGTGTCAAAGGGACAGAGAAAAAAATTCCAGTTGTGTGGACTGGAGTTCCCGAAAGACCACTGAAGATCACAAAAGCGTGGAAGGGTCTGAGCGCAAAAATTCAGATCTTCAGAAGTCCATTGAAGAGAACGAAAGGAAGAATAATCAGCCTGAAGACCGAAGTGCAATAAAAAATCAAGAAATAATAAAACAAGATAATCTTCAGGCTGAAGATCTCGAAGTCAAGGCCATCAGATGTTTATCCAACGACTGGAGTAAAATGGTGGCCAGCAGTTTTCTGAGTGATATCGCAATCTTCCTCAGGGACACGAGCTTCATCCACGCTCACAGCCTCGTCTTCTGGACGCGCTGTCATTCCCTGACAGATGATTACGAAATCGTTAATTTTGATGACAGAGGCGACAACAAGTGCTTTCCAATTAAGAATAAAATTCACTGGGCGACTGTCGACCGCGAGGCCGCAATCGTCTTCCTGAAGTACATATACTCTGGCCGGATTTCCCCAGAGGACATCAGTTCCCAAGACGTTCTAGATCAGGTGACGTACCTAGGGGAGAAATATAAAATAACGGAATTATTGGAATCTATAGATAAATTTAAAACAAAAGGAGATAATCAATTAAAAATTAATGAATTGAGTAATCCCCCTGAAAATTTTTTGAATTTATCAATTAGTGAAGAAGATTCAGGAGGCATACGTAAATTAGAAAATATCCTGGGGGATTCCCAGAGTACCTCATCCTCAGATCTCCACGAAAAATCGACACCTGAACAATCAATTAACGAGGAAAATTATACTAGTGCCGGAAAAATTGACGATAGATCCCAAAAATCTGGAATAAATTCTGCAAATACTTCTCCGAGGACAAGATATCCACGAAAATCGTATGGAGTAATTGAAATAAATTCCTCCCCCGAGGAATCGCCTCCAGTCGCGGAAGAGAATTCTCTGCAGGAATTGGAAATTTCCCTGAAGAATTTAAAATCGAAAAATAATTTTGTGGAGACTCGGCGATTGAACACCACATCTCCAGACCTGTTCGATGACTCAGAGCTCTTCGAGGATCTGCCAGAGGGCTCCCCAAGGGCCTCACCTCCTGGAAGGTCCCCTCAGGTGGTGAGAAAACCTGAAGGGACTCCAGAAATTTTTCACCTATCCTCTCGAGCTCCAGACAAAAAAAGCGAAATGAGTGCTTTCATCGATAAAATTCAGAGACAGCAAGCCCGAGGGCTCCTGGACTCGGACACCGACGGAGAGACTCCAGTGAAGGTCCCCCAGGTGAAGAGAAATCCCTTCAAAGTCCATCTAGACGACTCAGACCCCTGGGGACCTAAAAAACCCGGGGAACTCTGTGGGCCAAAAGATAAAGTGACTCCACTGAGTTTTCTGGAGAACGACGTTCGAGCTCGAGGAGTCGTGAGTCATGAAGATGGTCTCCAAGAGCAAGAGGAAGGACTCCAGGAGGACGACGAGGATTATGTCAACACCAGTGGATTCCTGGAAGAGTCCAGATACAGCAAATACCTGAAGACCAGGAGAAACAACAGCATCGACAAATACAGACAGGCCCTGATGAATTCCTGGGGAAATTCTTCTGATGCAGAGGAATCCTGCGATTCTCCTGGAATAGAAAACCTCTGTAATTCCCCTGATAAATTAATCAATGATAAATCCGAAGTGGACGACAGCCAAATCACCAGAGACGAGTGCTCCCAGTTCAGAAAATCCCTTTTTGAAAAATCCCTTGAAGATCCTGAAACAAAAGTCGAAGAAAAAGGTGGCTCCAGCCTGAGAATCCCTGAAGACCTGGAGTTCGACACATGGGAAGGGAATTCGGCGTTTGATCCTGGTGTCACGGAGAGGAGTCATTGGAGTGGTTGTGAGAATGCCCCAGAGATGAAGATGAATGAAAATTCAAACCTCAGGGATTCACCGGGTTCTCCAGAGCGTAATTCTCTTCCAAGTCCGATTGTTCTGTCTTCTGATGAGGAAGTGGCTGATGTCATGAACTCCCAGGTGTCGACACACTCCCTAAGTCCGCAAGTCCTCTCCCAGGATTCTCCCCAGGTTTCGTCCCAGGTTCTCACCTCCCCGAAAACCCCCCTGAGACCGACGCAACATTTAAATTGTTTGAAGAGATCTCGAACTCCTTCTGTTCGCATTTCCCACACGGTAACTCCACCCCTGGACTATTCTAGGATGGACTCCCCAGAATTACACTCTGAACTGGATAAATATGGATTGAAGCCCCAGAGAAGAGTCAGGGCGATTCAACTCCTGGAGCACATCTACAATGAACTTCACCCTCTTGTGCCTGTGGATAGTCTTCCCCAGGAGACGATCGACAGCGAGAACGAGGAGCCACTGACCAAGAAGATTAGGCAGGCCAGTGAATACTCAGAGGGTGTGATCCCAGAGGAGATGGAGTTCCAGGAGTCAGAGGTGTCACAGGGCGTTCTCAGTGTTCAGGAGGCATTCCAGCAACTCCTTAAAAATGATCGGAAATTTCATGGGAAAATTCTGGCGTACGAACCACTGCCACTGGAGACCCTCTGCGAGAGACTGAAGGTGGAGGGATTCTCTGGCAAGATCAACGACGTCATGGATTTTCTCGATGACGAGTGCATCACCTTCCAGGTGCAGATGCAGAAGAGGAACAAAAGGAAAAATGAGAAAAATAGGAAAACTACTAAGGCCTGACCCTTGGCAATATCTTCGAGGGCCTTTGTGAGTGGTGGGGTGAAGATTTTGAAGGAACAATTATTATTCAGAACTTCAGAAGAATAATGAAGACCACAAGGTCTTTATAACGAAATTGAGAGGAAATACTCAGTAATTTGAATATTCAGAGGACAATTGTGTTTTTTTATGCTGGGATATATTTTGGGGACTTTTATTTCAGTAAAAGTTACATCTGTATTTGATTAATTTTGGATTAAATGTTTTTTTTTTCGTTGTGGAAGAGTTTATGATGATCGAGGGATCAGGGAGTTTTCCTCGGGCAGCAGAAATTCGGAGACTATTGCTGAAACCATCTCGGCGAGATTGCTCTTCAGGATGTCGATGTTCCTGAGGGTAATAATAACAAATTTACGTTGTTGTTTAATTTTTTTGTTGCAATTGATTGCGGCTGTTTGAACTTTTTAGACTCACTGTTGCTCGGGGGATGCGCACAATTCCGTGTAGTATTTAATTTTTGGCTCTGTCCCACTGGTTCTCAGGGTGCTGACCAGGCCGTTGTCGAAGGTGAACGTTATCATTTGGCTCGACTTGGAAATTGGAAGAACGGCTTTCTTGTCGGGCTTTGTGCTATCGTAACCAGTTGTCAGATCCCGGACAGCGATTATCGAATATTTTCCACCAGCAATGCTCATTGGGTACTGCAAAATAATTATTGTTCTATTTTTTATAATTGCTTTTTTATCTGTTAAACTATTTTCATTTTATTAACGACAAACTGCTGCATAATTAAACGACAATTCAATAATTAATTTATTCGAATAATCAATTAATTCGATTAAATTAAATTGAGCTAATTGATTTAATTAGTTTGATCTCATTTAATTGGTTAATAAATTATTAAAATTCCTGGAAATCCGTTTTATTGTGTTATTTTTTAGAAATTTGTGGGCAAAAGAAATAGAGACGAACGAATAAAAATTAAATGGATTTTTTTTTTAATTCTAAAGTTGGAGTTTCAGTCAAATTCTATTCGATAATTATCGATCATTATAATCTCATTAAAAATTCTATTCATTCTCTCCCCAGGTGACATTGCACAATGTCTAATAAACCTGTGGCAAACAAGAATTCTCATTAGAATCAAAATGGAATGCCAATAGAAATACATAATCTTTCGTTATTCAATCCTTCCATACGTTTTAATTCGTAGACCTTGACCTGTCACTTGTAATTGTTCTGGTATTTCTATTTCGATTTTTTACTCGACGATATCTAACAATCACCTTAAATTTACGTGAAGAACGGTGAGAGCGAATACATGGATTGAACAATGGGAACAGCTAAGATGCCAAATAATAAAGTTGGAACGAGTGCCACTGACGTTAAAACCACATTTGTCACAATTCTCGTCAACCAGCTGAACTTTTCCTCCCTAGCTTTGACCATCGATATGGTGTGCATGATAAACCAATCCCCAGATCACTAAAAATCGCGGAATTCCCCAGTACACATGACTGAATGCGTCGAAACGAAATAATAAACTGGCAACTGATAGGAACTTAGATTAGACTTCGCACGATTTTCTACGAGAGATAAGCATTTTCACCGAAGTGCAATTGTTCACGTAACTATTGCTGTTTCCACAATTAACATATTAATATTAACGCTAATAACAGCGACTTGAACAATTAAAGAGAGGCTCGATGTTCATTTAGTCTAGTGGGAGTTTATTAATTAATTATTTCAAAGCGAGAGACAAAGTGGTGGTCGTGTCTGTTTTTGTTCGTTGATTTTTTATTTTAATGACAGCTCATGCTATACTAGACACTAGTCGTCCTTGTGGTACGCGATAAGTATTAGACTCTTTGAAAAATTCACATGTGCGTAATTATTGAGCAAGAGATAAAGTGAACTTACTGTATTCGGTTGACCAGCGAAATTTCGCAGTCTCTCGAATATTTTTTTTATTGTCTCCTGGTTGTGGCAGATCCAGTAAGAGTTCTCGCTGATGTGGTGGCCATAACTATTGGGGATCCGGAAAAAATAATCATGAATTACTGTTCAGAATTTAATTAATTTTGAGATAATAATTGAGAGAGAGTTGTCAAGAAAAGTGAAAGGAAAACAAAGAACATTGAATCGTTTGTATTTTATAAATAAATTATGCGATTTCAATAAATAAATTCTGATTTTGGAGATAATTAAAACATCTCTTAAACAAAATCTGATTTTTTAAAATTCATCCTACAGTTCTCCAGATATTTATAATTGAATTCGGAATTATGATTAAATATTGTCTGTCACTTTGATTGCTTCAGCATCGATTTCCGGGGAATCGGAAGAAGATAGAGAAATTTTTGTTGAACGTTTTTTGTAGAGGAGAATCAGGGCTACAAAAAAGGTCCAGGGAAGATTTTTGTATTCAGTTGGGAATGAGAGATATCCAGGAAAAATGGGAGACGTTGTGTTTGATTGGGGGATAAAGCTCTTACACTTTGTAGATGTCTTCCAGTTTGTCCAGAAGTGTGAGGCCCATGGTTTCCAGGTACGCTGCCATCTCGGCAAGTCTTATCCCGGCACTAATGCCATCCTTATCAAGGACACTGGGCCCACACATGAAGCCTATAGCTTCCTCGTACGCGAAAAGAATATATTTCTTCTCTTCCAATAATTTGACACATCTGTTTCCCATCCATTTGAATCCCGTCAGTGTTTCCTGGATTGAATTCAATCGAGTTCTCGGAATAAATCGACAAGTAAAATTTCTATGAATGAATTTTATTACCGAATTTCGCTTTATCTACCTCAAACTGGAATCCCTCCTTCTTCGCCATGGAGGCAAGAATTTTACTGGAGACAGTGGAGGCCAGCATGTAGGCGTCAGCAGGATCAGCATCAGGATTAATAACCCTGTGCACATGAAGCATCCACCACGCGAGGAGGGCTCCCATCTCATTTCCATTGAGGATCCTCCACTCCCCATCTTTATTTTTTATCGCACATCCAAGACGATCGGCGTCCGGATCATTAGCGAGAACAATCGATGAGTTGTTGGTATCAGCTGTCTTGATGCTGAGGTCCAGAGCACTCTTTCCCTCCTCGGGATTTGGGAATTTCACTGTTGGAAATTCTGGGTCAGGATCCCTTTGCTCTTCCACGATGACAAATGGCTGCAATTTATGATCAATTCAATTAGTCACTGGCGCATATTAAAATTGTTCAATTAATTGAATCGTGGAAAATTCGTGGCGTTGATTGGTAGTGATTAAAAAAAATTTTGTATAATTGATGATTAGGTTACCTTGAAATTGGCAAACCGAAATGCCTCTTTCATGTACTCAAATCCGACCCCATGCATTGCAGTATAAGTGAACTTCAATATTGTGCTCTTGTTGATTTCAGGATAAACAGTATTTCTTTTGATTATCCTGCAATAATCCTCGAGGACCTCTGCCAGGGGATCCTTGCAGAGATTCCCAGCAGCATTGAGGACAGACACATCCCAGGACGTGAGAGAGGGTTCAAGATTATCCAAAATAGCTTTTTGGATTCCCTTGTCGTGTGGGGGAATTATCTGGGCACTATTCTCCCAGTATACTTTGTACCCATTGTCTTCTTTTGGATTGTGAGAGGCTGTTATCATGATACCAGCTGCACATTTATACTTCATAACAGCGAAAGGTACGAAAGGTGTGGGACAGACCTTTGAGTACATGTAAACTTTGATTCCACTGTTGATGAATATCGTGGCTGTCAGCTCAGCAAATCTGTAATTTTAAATCGAATAACGAATAACTAATCATTTATTCACATTAATATTCAATCGCTCATAATAATAATAATAATGATTATTTAGAAAGGAATTATTAACAAACTAGACGAGCGAAACAATTCGTTTCAATTCTATTTCTTTATTTAAACATTTAATAGTTTATTTACGCTATTATTTAATCATTTCAAATTACCTGGAGCTGTTGTACCTGCCATCGTACCCAATGACAACTCCCTTTTCCTTAAATCCCTCCACACTATTAATTAAATATTGTAGCAGCCCCTGGCCAGTCTGAATGATCACCAAATCATTCATTCGACTGTATCCAGGACCCATTCGGCCTCGTAGACCAGCTGTGCCGAATTCCAGTCTCTTCAGAAAAAGTTCTGACAGTTTAGTGACGTCCTTCGATTTGATGATCTCATGAATCTCATCCTCTGGCTTCAAATCCTTCATCAAATACAAAACACTGGATCAGACGATTAAAAAATCGAGATATAAACGTAAAAATTGTCAATATCAATGGATTTACCTTATACCACCCTAAATATTCATTGATTTTGCCATCAAGGGGGTCGTTTCCAGTGACAACTCGAGTCCTTGTCGTCATTGTGTACAATAAACTCTTCAAGCAGTTGGAAAGTTTAGAAGAGTTCCACAGGTGTGTCGATACCAAATAAAAACTCACTTACTCCAGCTCCAATTATAAATGATCCTCATAATTCCCATCAACTGGCTCGTTCAATGTCCCACGGTAATTGTGTAATCAGCTGATAAAAACATAAGACGTTTATGAGATACAAATACAATAATCCCCATGGCACGAGATAAAATTCACAGCTCTTCATGAGTCAGAATTATTAAACTCCATGAATTTTTATCGTAAGACAAATCTTCGTCCCTTTCTCGAATAATTTACCTAAAATTTTCCCAATCCCCTCAACGAAAATAAACTCGAAAAATAGGTCCCTAGACTCGACCAAAAGTTTGATTTTCAATATCTCAAAATCAGCTGATCGAAATTTCACAAATTAATTTTCATTTTAAAGATTATTTTTCAGACTTTAAAATGGTCCTAGCTGAATGTAAATCACATTGTTACTCCCAGAGATATTTCAATTTAAATAATCTTCTCTTTTGTCTCGCCCCTGGAACCACTTCATCCCCTAATTTAATTTCTTTTAATCCTTTCCCCTTGGCATTCCTGACTCTGAATTGAGAGAAAAAATCTTTAAATTCTCCATCGAGAGACCAAAATCCCAGACATAACCCTTTCACTCACCACAGCCTGTTATTATTTTGGTTATGCAACAGCTGCTCACCAAAACATCCGAAGACATTTTTTCCCCACTCCCCAGTGAAAAAAATCATTCCAATGATTCTCCCCCTGAGGCGTTAAAATCCCTCAAAAGTATCGACAAACCCCAAAACCATCCACTCCAACCCCAAAATATCCAGACATCTCCATAAACTCGTAGTAAAAATACCATGTGTAGGACATACCCCTAATTGCGCAGTCTCATTGAGAATATTGTCTAGTTTCCTCTCCTCTGAATGTATTTTGCAGAACGATTCAACCCCTATGACATCAGCTGCCTTATCTACAGTTGTACACCACCTTGTAGTCAATTTAGTTGGCCTAACACATCCTGCAAACTATTGTGCAGAATTTCAATTGCCATCCAACAAAAATAATTCAATAAAGCCAGATAAAGTGTCAATTCCAATTACTCGATACAATGTTATCATTTTCATCCACAAATGATTCAGTCGAGTACTGAACAGGAATAAACGAGTGATTCTGTCATCAGGGGGTGGATTTTTGTGGAGATAAAGTCGAGGTGAACATCTGGGGTGAGGAATCAAGGAGAAAAAATATTGGAAATTATTTTTTGGAGGATATTGTCAATGCCATGGACGTTGGGGTGGTGAAAATAGCTGAGGACAGGGACTTTGAGAAACTCAAAAAATTGTACGATGACAATAATGACTGGAGATTGGACTACAACAAGCCAGACCTCTCTGTCTGGACCAAGTCGGTGCCTGGAATTAGTTTTCGAATGGTCAAGGTATTGGTTTTATTTTATTTCTTCCTTTCTTCATTATTTTTTTTTACTGAATTAATGCTCAGCATCTTCAAAATGAGTTATCATTTTTTGGTATTCACTCTACCGATCTCGAGATATTCACGATTAAAGCTCGTCGATGGTTTTGGGTTGTTTATGAGCTGATAGTTATTTCAAATATGTTTTCTATTTTTTTAGATAAGAACGAGATTCAGTGATGTACAGCCTGAGACTCTCTACGATGTTCTTCATGACCCTGAGTACAGAAAAGTCTGGGACACGCATATGATCGAGTCCAGAGACATCGGGTTCTTCAATCCTAATAACGATATTGGCTATTATTCTAGTGGGTTTCTCCTATTCATTAATTATTAACGATTTTATTACGGTTATAAAAATTATTTATGAAGTTGATGTCAACTTTTTATCTCTTTTCAACTGTTTTGTTCACGAGAATAATGAGAATAATCATTCGGTAGCAATTGCTAATATTATTTTAATATCAATAAGGAAAAGTAATTTTCCATCAATTGTTTAAATTATTATTTACTTTCGTGTGAGAAAATCCATTCTCCACGAAATGATGAAACATGAAAGGATTAATGTTTAGTGTCCTGCACGTCACCTCTGAAGAATCGCGACTTCGTTCTCCAGAGGTCCTGGCTGGACACTGGAAGAGAGCAACTGATCATCAATCATTCAGTCTACCACAAAGACTGGCCCCCAAAAAAGGGATACGTTCGAGCGACATCTTATCTCACAGGTAATTGAGAAAATTTTATCAATTGGTAATTGACTTAGAGACTGTCAATTGGTATAATTTATTCTCCAGGATTCATCGTGAGGCCCTCGAGAAATGGTGATGGTGCAGAGTTGGGATACGTATCCCATACAGACCCCCATGGAAAGCTACCTGTCTGGTTGGTCAACAGAGTCACACAAATCTTCGCCCCAAAGGTTGAAAAAATTTATTTATTCATTTACCTCGTGTCTCTCCAAAATAAAAATCGAATTCTTGTCTTCGTATCACATTAAATCCTCAGATGGTGAAGAAACTACATAAGGCAGCAGTCGCTTATCCCACGTGGAAAGAGCAGAACCAACCCAACTGCAGACCCTGGCACTTCCCAGAGCAGATAATGGCACCTCGAATACGTCTGCAAGATGTAAGCCACAAAAATTCCCAGCAAAGATTTTCCTTTTAACTTTCCTTTTTAATTTTTCTCTGCATTCATTTACCCCTGAAACTGACTAGAAACCGAGAAAATTCTGGTTAACAGATTTTTTCATTTAATATTTAAAATAATGGAGAAACTTTCATCTTTATTTATTTCATCCATTAAAGTTAAATAATTAATTAATTTGCTAAATTTTCAGTGGAACTTGAAATTTCAAGGCTTTTTTGTTGTCTAAGAAATTATATTTTTTTTATGCTATGAAGTTTTTTAATTAATGTCATTTTCTTCCAGTGCATAAAATCGATCGAAGAGAAGAACATGAAGAATAGTTACGTCGATGAATCCGATGTGAAGGATACTCTAGTCAAGGATATAATAATGATGGACAGTGACTAATCAAAGATAAAGTTTCTGTCGAATTGCAGTATTATTTCAGTATACTAATTGAAAAAGCGATAAAGTATCAAAATGAATGAGCAAAGAGAATGAAAATTTTACTTTTCTAGGGTAAGTCTACATGTGATGCTACTCAAGTGCTCGTTCGAGTTTCTTTCTGGTCGTTAATAAAAGGCTGAATCCGTGGCTAAATCCTGGATGGATAGATTATTTATATTTTAAAATGGCCACTTGATAGAAATAAATTAGTGTTGTTTTTCTCGTAATTTTTGAAATACTGGATAGTGATTTCTCAGAAGCATCTGCGTTTCACGGAGATGTCAAACAAGAGTGGACATTATGTTAATTGATTAATGAATTTTTATGAGAGAGAGAAAGGGAGAGCTAGTATGGATAGGGGTAAATGGACAATTGAAAGATAATTCAATTCGTTTTATTGCAAACAAAACAATTTATCTCCAAAGCTATTGATTTTCTGAAGAAATGTGTGAAGATCTTTTTTATTCGATATTTAATTGACTATAGAAAAGTCCTTTACTATTTCTTTCTCAAATCGATAGCTGTCGAGATAAGTCCTCTGTGCAAATCAATTCCCCGAGAAAAAATTCTTCTATTCAATGAAATAAGAGATTGATTGAGCGTTCTGAAATAATTTGGAGTGTCCAATTTACCCGATTGTGTTCTCTCTTAAAAGTCCTGGCTCAAATGAAGTCCCTCCACTTCCGGTAAACAATTCCGCATTATTTAGTCGACTAGGCACTTCAGGATTAGCATTTCGAATAGCCTTTCAACACCGTCAGTTCCGATGAATATTCCATTTTTCAATTCACACAAATGAAGAGATGTGATACATATCTGATAACTGATGAATATTAAAATTCAATTAATTCTGTCATTTGTCATCAAAAGCTACTCTCTGACTGGTCGAACTCCGTGAAAACCTACGTAAAAAATAATCGTTGAAATTCCCACTATTTACTCAGCGTTTTTCCTGGTTGCCCCTGATTTTGTAATCTTTATGACAGTATTACAATCTTCTCAGCAATCAGATAATTTTCTATTCAGTCATTTCTTCGAATAAAATGCTAGAAAAAGTTTAATAGAAAAATCTAGCGCTTCCTCGAGACATTCTATTCAATTTCTCCATTAAAATAATACTAATAATTAATTAAAATTGATTGAAATTATTTAATAAAGGAGCAAAGTCATTTTTGGTCGATAAATTTTATAAAATGATATAATTCATGCCCAAGAAATTATAGAAAACATTCTAATTGTTCTCTACAGATGAAAATCGAATCAAGAAAGTGTCAGGTTTTTCAATTAAATTCTTCCTCTCCCGAATTATCAGTCTACAGTTAATTTAATTGACTAATTAATTCGGTCTCTCCCTTCTCTCCCCTTTATCATTTTTCAAAATAATAACTCGAAGCTACTCAGCATTTTGGTAAATATTAAAGATGTTTATCAAGAATCGCAAGTACTCACAGAAAATCAATAGATTCATTTTCAATTCTTCATTTATTATTATTAATTAATTATCAACTCGTCTATAAAGACAATTGCCGTTGGTTTTTTAATTGGAGAAGTTAATTTCATGTTTTTTATTATCAGAAAAATTCTAGGATAGACTAGAGTTTGATAAATATGGATTTGCGGATAATTGGTAAACATTTTTATATAGCGAGCTTTCGATAATTGTTCAAATAATTAAATGCGATTCAAATAAAGGGCTGTGTATACACTGAGCGAACTGATGGGATGAATTGTTTTATATTAATGAGTAAGCTTAAAATAGATGAAAAATTTGAATTTTCAAGCGGATCGGTGGACAGTGAGATTAATTTGCACTGACGATTCGATAATATCCACATGCGTCGGATTAATCGGCAGGTGATCGACGTCTCGAGATTTTTATCCAAAGGGACGAAGAATCGCCAGGTGTTATTATTAATAATTGAACTGTCACGTCATGTTCTTGTATTGCACTTTGTATATAAACATTTTATCTTATTCAATATATGACTTGTTAAATGAAAATGTGTGGATCATTATCCTCAATATTTTTAGATTAATTAACAGACTTCGCGGTGGATTTTTATGCTGACAATTATTTTTAAATTATCGAGGAGTGGTTTGACATCGTCTGAATAATCCGTCTTTCGTATCGGCGATTTGACGTTTTATTTATTATTGTTGTTAGGATTATTTTAGTTATGTATTTGTTGAGGTTTCCAGAGAAAAAGTTTCAAAGTTGCTGATTCCATTTGTTAATCGAATGGAACAGCACAATTGTTAAGAAAAAGGCGCGCATTTTTTAATTTGATAGGAAAGTTATTGAAGTTCTAATTTTAGTTTATTTATTGTGTTATCGGTCATTAGTTAATTTATAAAAAATATCTCCGTTATCTTATGATTTCGATAAAATGTCATTAAGAAAATTTCGTTGAGATAATTTCAAGGAGAACAACGAAATGAGAGGTGGGAAATTCCAAAAGAAATCATAAAAATCAAATTAACTGAGATAGCTACCCAAAATGATTTTTAATTGCATTACAGTCGCATTCAAAACGACAGACAAAACAATAACTGAAATTACTCAAAGCCGAAATCCAAAAAATACGGAATTATTGCAAATTGTTATGGAATAATTAAACTGGAATTTTCGATTTCGCGGAGAAAAAAATCATCAGTGTTAAAATTTCTGAAGAAGATTTCGGTTAATTAAACAAAAAGGTGCTAATTGTGATTTTAGATGAAATTTTCCGGACATGAACAGGAAATTTCCGCCATGTGTTTTTATTTGACTTTTTTACCATGAATGATCGAGCTAACCGAAGGATGAAAAATCCATACCGAGAAATCTTGATAGCTCTCTTTGGATTATAATAAAATATTTGCGCAAGCGCCAGAGTTTTGCGATGCAAATTATTTCGTTCTGGATTATAAGTCTTGCGGCAATTGCTGATTGTAAACATATTCATCCAAGTAGTATTCACTGGAGCATTTATCCACGAGCCTATCATTACTCATAAAATTCATTTCCAGTGATTTTTCGGAGTCTCCACGAATTCAGGTACATAAAAACAACTAAATAAAAAAAACCAAAGCTTTTCTACTTTTCTGTAAAAAAAATATTATTTTTTCTGGATTTTCTGAAAGGATCAATGAATTAAAATCATATATCATGAAAAGAAAATATTTTAGAGAATGAAATTCAATTTCTATTCGAGTTTTATTCAAATTTTAATAGACAATTCAATTTTTTTCCCTATTATTACACCAGTTGTTGATTTTTAACGATAAATTATTCTGTTAGGATTTCTTTTGTAATAATTCTTTCACTCGATATTTTTAAATTGTTCTGGTTATACTTTATCATGAGAAACAAAGAGACGTACAGCGGAATAACTGGAATTATTTATGTCCAAGAATTTCTGTAAGTCAGACATGAGTGCGCGTTGCACGTGAGTTTTAAATGTTTCTTCATTAATTACATTTCGACAAGCAGAATACAAAAATAAACGTCTAATAGTAGTTAATTCCTTCAATAAAAAGAAAACAATTATTTCCCGTAACAATCCGAACGATTATTTTCTAAAACTGAAAGAAAATAATGTAAAACTATATAAATATGTTATGTAATATTTATAATTTTTACAGAAGATTTTCGCTCTTTTTAAAATATTTTTCAATAAAAATTGAACTATAAAAATAATTTGAAAACCAGTACTTATCAAAAAATTGTTTGTTTATCATCCAGCATGAGTGGAATGTCCCCAGCATTAAATATTGATAACATTAAAAAAGAGGAGTATCTAGATCCTGAAGAGATGCAGGATCTGGTCTCCTTCCAGAACCACCAAAATTGCTTGAAAAATCACAATGAGATAACGAGAAAAGTAACTATTTTTCCGGAAAAATGGAAGAGCAAGTACACGTTGTCGGTGTTTGATAACATAATATCGTTATCAATAGTTGGGCCATTGGTGGTTGGACACTGGTGCGGCCAGTGGGGATTGTTGGATTACTACAAATTGCCGTGAGTAATTAAAAATCGCATGTGCTTACACTCAAGCAATTTTAGCGCATCATTCCCGCTCCGTATCTTCTAATCTATTGAAAATAGCGAAATTTCCATATAAAATTTTTTGTAGAGCAAGACGTGGACTATAAAAAAGAGTCTCACGATCATTTGTCTATCTGCCATAGATTCCGAGATATTGCGGAAAATGTTGTAAAATGAAGAGACCTGGTGAGCGTCTGTTCCTGTTCTTGCACGACAGATTTCCCCATCAATTTCATTCATTTCTGCCGATCTATATCGCGAAATCTGTTAGAGATAGCGGAATTTTTATGGGGAACTTTTTATAGAGAAAAACGTGAGCTACAAAAAAGGTCCTTATGCTTCTTCATCTATAATCCCTAGATTCCAAGATATTGCAGATATTGATAACTGGAGTGATCTTTCGGTTTTTGTTCTTGTTCTTGCACGACAGATTATCAGACTGGCTTTGTTTCTGTCTCGGTCTGGGACTTCATTGCAGCTTCACCTGTCTCAGGTACATTCTCCAAAGAATTTTTGCCGATCATTGGAGACTTTCCAACCCCATCGGGAGAGGAGGGTACAGGGTGGCTAGATTGGTTTACACTTATCTCTTTGGACTTTCCTGCGTTTTGCACTGGAAGGGCGGATGGGCGATTTTTTCCGCCGTCGTGGGAGATAATTTATGGTAATTATATCAGGTCGATGTCCTGGGATTGATTGGATTGTCCAGGGATTGATTGGATTGTCCAGGGATTGATTGGATTGTGTCTGTTTGAAGGACTGATGCTGCAGTTACTCTTGCTCTCATCGGAGTTCTGATTGTTCTCAAGGCGAGTCGAAATCTACTCGCACCACCTTTTATCATCGCGGTAGATGTCCCACCTCTTGTCTTCAATTACCCAACGCGATTTAGAGTTGTGAGTGCTTTTTTATTATTTTTATTATTTTATTTCATTCGCTTACTTTATTTCAGTCTCATCCGGAAAAATATAACTAGAAATATTTTTTTATTACTATACTATTATTGTTGTATGTATTGTTATAATTATTTTACCTTTTATTTTCCTAGTATATTTTCAGTGTAGGAAATTTCAAAGTCTTTTAATTCAATTAAATTTGGAGGAGAAATCGATGAATTTTTTATTTCTGTTCAATTATTTCGGAAGAATTTATAGAGTACAGGGAAAATTCAGGGAAATTTTTGTTACATCTTCATTAGTGTATTCCGAATTTTTAATCAATTTTGTTATTTGAGGGAATTTTTAAAATTAATTAATCGAACTAATCAAGGAAAAATCGTATGGGATTTTTCGTAATTCTTACGGTGATGTTTTGGATTTGAAATAAAAATTGCTGAATTGTCGGATAATTAGTATAATTCCGGGTAAGTTTCGGTAAATATTTCTCTGGATTACGGAAGAGATGGGTTATTTTTATTAAATATATCAGCCTGCGCAATTTCGCATATCCGCCAGGCAAAATTCTAAACTCTCCGAATGGTGTCACTCCCGTTCAATCATCTCGAAAAATAAACGAGCTGTTCAGTGTGGAGATATTCAAACCAAGGTGAGAAGATTAGTGAAACTGGATCTTGATTGACCAACAAAAAGCCCCGAAACGGACTTCATCAAAAATCGCGATAACAAAAGACCGCGAGAATTTGTCCGGCAGGAAATGCCACTCAGAAAAATCACGGCTCAAGGTAGCGGATCTACCAGATCTCCAGCATCTTCCCAGATAACAAATTTCCATTTTCCAAAGCTAAAATTATATTTAAAAAATCGGCAAAGAAAAACGTTCGGGAAAATTGCGGGAAATTTCACACGATCCGAAAGGGAAAGTCTATTTTTTTTTTCAGTGAAATTATGAGGAAGATAAAATTTTAATTAATCTATCAAGGAACAATTGATGATAATCAACGGTAAATCGGTAATACGAGATTAATTGATAATTGAAGGCATTTATCGGAATTTTCCGTTTTTCTCTGAATTTTTCAGGGATAATTACCGTGAAATTGAATTTTCGATTGAAGACGGATTAGTTTTGAAATTCCCAGAGAAAAATTGAAATAAAAATGATCCTAAAAAATCCCAATCAATTTCTCCGAATTTCCAGTTAATAACAATATGAAACAATAAACAAATAGTCTAGGAGTTATAATTTTGCAAAAAGTAAAATTCCCAAAAATTCCCAAAAATTTCGAAAATTTCCAGTTAATAACAATATGAAACAATAAACAAATAGTCTAGGAGTTATAATTTTGCAAAAAGTAAAATTCCCAAAAATTCCCACAAATTTCGAAAAATTCTCAAAAAAATTCCACAAGCAATTAAAAACCCCTCCATTAATTACCCCAGTATCTTCCACGCTTCCACATCAACAACAACACAGGCGCAAAAAAAAATTGAGAATGGCGGGTCAGCAGAGGGAAATTTAAATTTCCAAAAGTTTCAAAAATTTCAGTAAAAAAAATCTAATGAATAAAATCTCCTTTCCTCGATTTCCCCGGTATCACCCGTTAATTAAGATAACACTCACCCAGAAAATGACAGCTCTCGATTAAAAAAAAAAGAGGGGGATCGCGAGCGTAATACCGGAGTACATGCGACATGTTCATCTCCCTGTGTACGTAATTTGCCTCGGTATTGGTCCCCGAATGATTCGGTACGGGGTACGACGTTGATAAAAGATAGGCAGTTGGCCCGAAAGGGATTCAGTATTCTCTCGTTACCCATAGTGTTAAGCGCAATATTAAAAATCTCCGATGGACTATTCCGCGGTTGTCTGAATTCGTAAAAATCCCCGATAAATTCCAAACCCCCGATTTCCCCCTCCAAAAATCGATCAATCTCCCAAAAATCCATGGCGAATTAATCAATAAATAAATATCTATCATAAAACAGCCACAAACCACATCTTCAACATCTTCAACATCTTCAACAGCTACAACCCCCTCGAAATAAAACGAAAAATAAAGAAAAACCAAAAGATTGCGAAAAAAGGAAAACGATCTGAAAAAAAAAATCACCGGGATAAGGGAAAAATAATCAGTCATGTCCCCCCCGAGTTCATCAGCCCGGGAATTGGGAGATGATTTTAGCCGGGAGATTGTCAAGTAGAGGAATAAATAATAAAATAAATGTGATGAAGCGAAAAGTGATGGAAATGAGGAAAAGTCTGGATCGTGTGTTGATGGAATAGATTTGAATATCGAAAGATTGCGACTCGCTTATCGATTTGATGATGAAAATAATGCCCTGAAGAGCGATGAGTTGCACAGAAACGAGGGACCACCGTTCACAAGATTGGAGGATGATTGAGATGAAAAAAGGCGTAATTACACCAGTGACATTGGACAGACAGTCATCGCGTTGTCATTACACTATTCTTGTTGTCCTGGATGCAATATTTTCGGCTCTTGTAGCAGCACCAGCTGTTGTTGGATACTGGAGGGGTACCTGGGGACTCAGTGATATCTACATGTTTCCAGATGATCCGGTATTGAGCAATTTGACGTCCATAGCCGTTGGTTACGGTGGATTATTATTTTTCAATGTTGTGCAAAGACAATTCAACGATATTTTACATCCGGATAAGCACAGATTGTTTTATTATGTCGGATCGAGAATTTACACTGCCGTTTTTGGATTTTGCTGTGTCAATGCTTGGCGAGGGGGGTGGCAAGCACTTGATCTTTATACGGAACAGGAAACAGCTACTGTTATTGTTACGACGTTTGTTGCACTTGTTGCTTTGATTTTTATGAAAGCCGTCAGGAATATATCGGCACCACCTTTTTCTTTGAGTTTAGATTCACATCCTGGGTATTTCGAGGTGCCAACTATGTTTCGGGTTGATGTAAGTTCATTCATCGAGACAGTCATGTTTTAATTAGTCTGGGAGTGAAGTCAGGGGTGGATATCTCGGGATTGAGGGCAGATATCGAAATTTTGGTGAGAACCTTTTTTGAAGAGACAAGTGAGGGCTGTTAAAAAGGTTATTATGAAAATTTCGATATATCCCTTGGTTTGGGAGGTATGGGCGGGGGTGGTTGAGGGTTGCGTTCTGGTAGCTCAAAGGCAGCGGTGTTTTTCAGTTTGGAATCAATTCAGAAAGTATAAATCGCTGATCTTGTTATCAACAGAATCGATAAACATTACTGGCGCCTGATTACTATCCTCAGAGGTGTATTAACCGTCTGATAATCCGATAATCCCCACAAAATGAAATAATGTTGCACTGAGATAAATCGAAGTTAAAATTTTGAAAAATTACCGATTTACCTCCGAAACCGTCGATCTACCTTGAAAACGATAAATAACTTTTTTATAACCGATTAAATTTTCCATCTAAAACATCTTTTCACATTTCCCTCTAAAATCAATAGTTCTCAAGATAAACAAAGTATTGTTGTAAGCAAAACTCTCATGTTTTCTGTTGTTTAAACAATTCATAAAATTTCTTTCTTCTTTATTTTTCAGAACTCTCGGGATTGTACGTTGTACGTATTAGACTGTGTATTCAGTGTGGGAGTGGTTGGTACATTAGTTGTATTCGTGTGGAGAGGTATTTGGGTACTTCTGGATCATCATCTTTTCCCGGAGAATCGAGAGTACTCGGCTATTGGGTCAATGGTAAATACTAGTTCATGATCTATTCTCATGTAAGAATTGACGCACCGCCGGTGACAAATTCCTCGGATTTTTATCAATGAAATGGAAAAAGTCTCAATATTTCAATTTAAATTTTCTTTCAATTTTCTCTTATTCAACTCCAATTCTGTAATTTCCAATTTTCAATCTGTATTTTTCGTGGAAGTAATTGTAAAAATTGATTGAAGAGAAAATTTCAATTCCACAACTTGAATTTTTATATTACTTATTAATTTTTTATCTTAATATTGATGAGGATTTTATTTTATCTATTTTTGTAGAGATTTTTCAAATTTTCCTCACGATTTTTATGAAAAAGAATTAATTAAAAAAAATGGCGATTTCAATTTTAATTTCAATTATTATTCTGATACATTTTATTTCATTGAATCCAGTGAATATTCACCACTTTATTTTCAACTATCGATTTGACAATTGAATTCCGAAATATGAATCGACCCCTTGAAGTTCAAATATTAAAAAATTCAAAACGCAGAAATAATTGCAAAAATCGACTTAAGAATTTAACAACAAATTTATTACTGAATTTTTTGATGGTGACAGAAAATATAAATAGATCCCTCAAAGTTTAAATATTTTTTTATTAAAAAGATTGACTTGAACGAAAATATTGATGTTCCAAAAGTTATATTACAATTTTGATTTCTGAATTTTTTGGTGCTGTGAGAAAATATGAATGGACCCCTCGAAGTTCAAATATAAAAAAATTCAAAACGCAGAAATAATTGCAAAAATCGACTTAAGAATTTAACAACAAATTTATTACTGAATTTTTTGATGGCGACAGAAAATATAAATAGATCCCTCAAAGTTTAAATATTTTTTTATCAAAAAGATTGACTTGAACGAAAATATTGATGTTCCAAAAGTTATATTACAATTTTGATTTCTGAATTTTTTGGTGCTGTGAGAAAATATGAATGGACCCCTCGAAGTTCAAATATAAAAAAATTCAAAACGCAGAAATAATTGCAAAAATCGACTTAAGAATTTAACAACAAATTTATTACTGAATTTTTTGATGGCGACAGAAAATATAAATAGATCCCTCAAAGTTTAAATATTTTTTTATCAAAAAGATTGACTTGAACGAAAATATTGATGTTGCAATATTTATATAACAATTTTGATTTCTGAATTTTTTGGTGCTGTGAGAAAATATGAATGGACCCCTCGAAGTTCAAATATTAAAAAATTCAAAACGCAGAAATAATTGCAAAAATCGACTTAAGAATTTAACAACAAATTTATTACTGAATTTTTTGATGGCGACAAAAAATATAAATAGATCCTCAAAGTTTAAATATTTTTTTATTAAAAAGATTGACTTGAACGAAAATATTGATGTTGCAATATTTATATAACAATTTTGATTTCTGAATTTTTTGGTGCTGTGAGAAAATATGAATAAACCCCGCGCGTTTAAATATTTCGTATGCTAAAGGTAGAGTGAGCACGCTCGAATGACGTTTGTATTTCGATTATATAATTGAATATTCATCCAATTGTATGATTGTCGGTAGGCGCACGACTGACCCAGTATATCTCATTCTCGAATCAAGACAACTTGTGCAAAATCATTTATTTACCGGGGATGGTGCGATGGAAAATAGTGCAATGCGACTGGTTGCATTAAACATCGAGTCTATCACCCTGATGACATAAAATTATATCAATTAATCAATTCCCCTCCAATAATTCACTCCATTAATTATATAAAATACAACTCCACTGAATTTTTTTTTTAATCCTCCCTCAAATTTCAAAAAAAGTGCATTTTTTTGGAGTTAAATTATTTTCAGGGATTTAAATAATTAATAGAGCATTAACTTTATATTGTTTAGTGGATTATTGAAACTATTTGAATGAGATTCTTGGAGATAAATGTACTGAGAATAAATGTACTGAGACTTCTAGTTGTTGCTTTTGGAGAATTAAATTTTTTTCGAGTTGAAATGTTTTTTTATTTGAAAAAGCTAATTTGTTGTAGTTTTTTTCATGCGTCCACTGAACTTGGGGAAATCTGACGAACTATGTTTCTAAGTCAGATGTATCAAGTTCAATGAGTTAAATGTGTCTAAGGGCAAGTCAGAAAGATCCTCATCAGGAGTAATCGTGGACTAATCCACTTGAACGACCTATTATTTAATCGAGTCAACGCTCATACGTTCGACCGAAATAAACTAAGTGATCGACACACGAAAAAATTTAACGGGAACTATACGCTTTCTATAAGAAATTTCTTATAGACTTTTGATTTTCTATTCAAACTTCGTAACTCCATTCGATCTCTGTGAGAATTCTATTACAGATTTTTCGAAAATTCTTGGAGTTCCAGTAGAAATTCAATAAATGTTTATAGAAAAAATTCTATCCAAGAATTCCTACGGAAAATATTATCATTTTCTATGGAAATTGTAACAAAAATATAATAAAAATCCATCGACATCTCAGTAGAAAAAATAATGATCAAGAATTTCTGTAGAAAATAAAAAGAAGATTCTGAAGAGAATTCTTGAAATTCCAATAAAAATTTCTGTTTCCCTTTTTTTTCATCTTTTATAGAAATAAAAGATAAAACTGAAGTTTTCACATAATTGTTAATTCAATTCGTGGAAATTCAATAGAATTAAAAAACAAATTTGTATCGATGAATTGGGTGTTGATAGATCGGGGAATCCCTCGATTCGCGGATTTGGGATCAAGTCGGAGTCCCTTTAGATTCCGGAGGATGAGAATAATATAACACTGACGTTTCTAGCACGTGGGTTCGCTTCCGCTCCTCTAATGCATATGTGTACGCTCCTCCGATAGCAATATTATGTCACGTGTCGTACATAATACATGCCATTCTCTACATATTTACTTTATTCAAGATTCAACCCTCAATTTATCATTCTTTTGTTCCATAAATTCCAATGTCAAGTGCATTATCCCTTTAGCGACACTCGGACAAAAAAAGAGCATGATGTTGTGAATAGCCATTATTTATTGAAGTGATATTAAAAAATTATCAATTTTAGATATTAAATAAAATGGCGCATTAATTGTTTTGTTCTCTATTTTTAATATTATTCTTGTTTTTGAAATAAATATGAGGGGATAGATTAATTTGTTAAGTAATTAGTGTGCTAGTGATTGATTGAAAATTATCATTCGCCTCATTAAAAATTTTAAATAGCGGAGAGAAGGGGAATTAGAGGACTTAATGGGATTTTCTGATTATGTAATCAATTTTCTTCAATTTTTATTAGATTTTTTTTACAATAATTTAAATTAATATAATCGAAACTTTTGGCTTGATGGATTAAAAACGGGAGAATCAATTCAATTATTTTAGTCTCGTTACTGCGCCGCAAGGAATTAAATTTGAAGTTTCGAGTAAAAAAAATTGAAATTTTTGACAATCGCAAAGTGCCAGGAAATTTTTGCAGAATTTTTCATGAAAGAATAATGCAATAATTCATGGAATAATTCCCCGGGATTTTCAATTTATAAACAATGATGAATAAATAAATAAATATTGAATTTCATATGGAACCCGAAAATTCTGGGTTTAATCGAAAAATCAATTATGAAAACTCAATTTTCTTGGATTTCCAAAATAATCAATAAATTTATCAACAGCTCTCCCTTGAAAAAGATTTTTAAATAAATTTAGATAAATTATATAAATTGATTTATTGAACAATGCCGACAACTTTGTGAGGAAAATTCCAAGAAATTTCCTCTAAAATCTTAATGTTTCAGGTAATCGGGTACATCCTGGTGGCAATCACCTTCTGCCTGCAACCGGTGATGCGTTACGTGTGCAGTCGATTGGAGGGTCTTCCCCGGCTGTTGGCAGCGGATGCATTTCTTTTCCTCAGCTTCCTGGGTACAGTGAACGTGTGGAGAGGGATCTGGGGACTCCTGGAGGTCTGGCTGTTCCCTGAGAACGTCGCGCTCTCCTGCTGGATCACCCACATCGGATGCTTCCTGTTCCTGGGCCTCCTAAACTGCAGCAACTCCATCCTCGTCAGAGGAGTCTACATCGACGCCGAAGAAGAGGAGGGAAAGTGCGTCGTGTTCCCCTGCCACTACCTGAGGCTCTTCTTCAAGGTAAAATACTTAAAAACACCAGATTAATTCCTTCCCCGTGAACAAATCAAAAGTTCAACGTTAATAATTCATATCAATTGTTAGTCGATTATTAGACTGTAATTATTCTATTTAATTAATGTCTTTTACTCAAGAAAACAATTTATTTGAGAATTCCTATTGTTTCTATTTAATTGTTGATACATATGTTGTGAATTTAAAAAATAATTTGAATTTCTATGGAAATATCTCGAATTCCTGATAAAATATCAATCGAAATTAAAAAATACATTTTCTTTTTCATTAATGAAGGTAATTAAATTTTTTATTCAACAAAAAATGTAATTTTAAAAATAGAAAATACAATACAGGTGTTCATGCTGTAGAGATGAGTCGATTGCTTATAAAAATATTAATGTTATTCGATTGGTGTCAATTTAGAATTGTGTTATTGGAATTATATAAATTTTTCTTTTAGATTGAACGTGAGAAAAAAGAAGCGAGACGTCAAGGTCACTTGGGTATGTCTCGAGATTATTCTCCGAGTGAAAATGCTGGTAAAGATGCTGAAAATGGTGATCTTCTTAATTGTACCTCATTGCCAACAATAATTCCAGCAAATCCAGAGTCTCTGGTGTTGAAATAATGAAAAAAAGAAGTTTAAAATATTCGCTGGGAAGTTCTCGTAAATTCTACAGAACTTTCTCGTTTATATCAGGAGAGTTTCATGTTTTTCTACTAAAAGAGATATCTGGAGGGAGAACGAGAAGCCTTAGAGAATTTCTCTGAAATATTTCAGCGGATGCAAAAGGTAGAATTCAGTACCAAAGAGAAGTTGGATAACCGAGCGCGTCAGTTATTAGAGAATACCTCTGAATCTAAGCGAGGTACCGAAAATTTTATAAAGATATCTTTTGTAGATCGTTTTTCACTCTCCAAAAAAGATACTGATGAAAATTCTGGTAGTTTCATTAGATTTTGAGATATTCCTCAAGAACTGGACTGGGGAACGAGACTATTTATTCCTCTGTCCAGAGAGTAACCAGTCGATTTAGCAAGAAACTTTTCGAGTAATATCTCTGAATCTAAACGAGATACAAAAAATTTTAAAAGGACCTTTTTTCTTGCCCTAATTGTCCCACATAAAAAAGGTCCTAAGAAAAATTTCGCTATCTACCTCAGTTTCAGAATTATTCCCCGCGAACTTATTACCACTTTTTTTCGGTGCTGAATTATTCCACACGCGTTACGACGAAAATCACCGGAAATGTTAAATCCCAGGGGATAAAAAATCATACTCAGTGAGTTTATCTAACTAAAATGAACTACTGGCCTCTCGAGACAATAAATAATATCCCCGTTGTAAAATATATTTATTTTGACTAGTTACAGAAGCAATAAACTTTATGTAAATATTTTTCAATCATTCGTATTTTTGAATGCATGACGCAATCCAAAGTCACCACCATTTAATTTACTCTTTTATTATTAATATTTCATGTTTTTCTTCGTCCAGCCGAGGAGGGGAAAAAGACGACAGAAAAATGACAATAAAGTTAATTTGACGGTTAAGCCCTTGAGACCTTGAGCGAGATAACGGTATTGTTATCATTACGCAATTCACATTGTACATTCTTCCCCGTATATCCGCAGGGGCGACATCCTGTCGACATTCCGTAATTATTCCCTCGGTACCGGTAATGATTGAACAAAGAATGCTAAAAGTTTGAGCCTTCATTCACCGGGAAGTGGTGGATAAAACTCTGCCCTCGTGGCCTACATACTATTACGATCACAACGTGAACAATACAATTCTTACTTTTCAATTTCCATGAAAATTTATCCAATCTATTTCTATATTCATAATTTCATGGACCGACAAAAAAAATTTCGGTGATAAAATAATTTTGAAACTTTATTTCAAAAATTGTCAATGAACCCCGAAAAAAGTTCTGATTAATTTATTTAAAAAAATGTTATCATAGATTTTCTAGACTCCTTACAATGCAATTAATTAATTAATTAATTAACTTTTTACTTGAATTTTTTGATTCGGGAATTCATTAAACGAGATGACTATTAATTCTTCGATTGTATTTTTATTTATAGAAAAACAGTTTGGATTTTTTATAAAAAAATCCTCAATCATGGATTTTCCCATTTTTCATCCATTTATTTATTTACTCGTTGAGAATTTCTACAGGATATTTAAGATAAATAAAAAACCGGAATTTCCCAATGAAATTCGAATTTGATAAATTTTCTGGTGGAACGAACGACTAGAATTAATTTATCGATTCCTAAAAAATAGAAAATAAGGAAAACCTCTGGATTCCCTCTCGACGGAGGGATCGCGCTTTTCTACTCGATCCCATCAACTCTCATCAATGATTATCGATCGATTGGCAATCAATCGAATTCGGCCCATTGGCCCTGTGACCGCCTCGTAAGAAATTCTATTTGAGGCGCATCTCATCTCCCACCTCTAAACTCAGCTCTTCGAACTACTCTCGATCTGAAAATCATCTTGCGTGTGCAATCACCAACGAATTCGACAATTCCCCAGAGTGAACGGAACCGAGTGCAATATCACAAATAATTATAAACAAATTAGGCAAAAAAACATTTAAAAAAATAATGTGCTGACAGCGCAAAAGACTCGGTAGTTCTTGCGTGCGTATTCCTCGAGAATCAATTGATATTGTTGAATAAATAATAAAACTAAGTTGAAAAAGAAAAGATCGATTTGATTTTCGATAGTTGCTGGGAATTGATATTTTAACGGCTGATAAAGTGCGAGATGAGCGTTTCAAGGGGAACGATGGTGAGTGACGATTCACTTCAGGATGTGCCTCTGACGTCAGTCGACTTTGAGGTCTTTGGTAAAGTCCAGGGTAAGTCTCTAGGGGGTAAGTTGGATGAGGCTGTAGGAGTAGTCGTGAATGAAAGGAACGAAGAATAATTCGCAGGATGTTATTTTACAAAATACACGAGAGATCTTTGCCGATCGCTGGGGATCGGTGGCTGGGTGAAGAACAGCAAAAAGGGGACTATACTCGGAAAAATGCAGGGCCCAAAGCCGTATGTTGATCAAATGTAAGTACTGACCCATCGATAATTCATCCCTTTGAATTATAAATAATTATTATTTGATGACAGAACGGCGGATGTGCGGGGGAATATTCGCGATTCGCTTGATCGCTCATGCAGAAATGACAGGACATTTATGTTACGGTATTATTTCTTTACGGGAAATTAACAAAAAAAATAAGATAAAGATAAGGATGAAGATAAGAAGTGTAGGATCTCATGAAAAAGCCAGTGAATATTCTGGACAATTTTTATCTGTCTCATTTTGGGCGAAGGGAATATTTCTCTGCACGTGGGGGTGTGAGAGTTGTTTTTGATTATCCATTTGCCTCGATAATTATTGATTTATCTCGAGAATTATCGATTACAGGTGGAAGTGTTGTGGGAGTTTTTTCGAGAATATTAAATTTATGGGGAATTATGTCTCTTGATGTTTTTTCCTGAAATCGATAGTTTTTGAGATCGAGCGATATTTCAAACTAGTAGAAAAATCGATGGAGTCGGATAAAGTGAATTCTATGTTTTTAATTATTATCGATTCTTATACAAAATTATTGATTGATGTGGAAGCGATAGAGGAATTTTTTGTGATCGACAAATGAGATTTTTTCTTGAAAGGCTCTAGAGATTCTAACGGGATTCCATTGAAATTCTAAGTAAAAATCTTCTCGTTTGTTTATTTAAATATAGCAGAATCCAGTAGGAAAATCCTGGGAAAACCCATGGCTTGAAAGTTTCCACGAGAATATTCACACGAAATGATAATTTACCCCCGAAAATCAAGAGAATTATTGAAGCGCTTTTCAAGCGAATTTATTCACCCGTAAAAAATTTCCAGAGCAGTTTTATAACGTGCGATCTATATCCATCGTTTCCACGATAATCTTTCGCAACTTTGCTGGCAATCCATCAAGGTGGCAATCTAATCATCTCACGTATTTATTGCTTCATTAACCCAATATATTGGCGCAGTGTCAAATTATTAAATGCAAACACAACATTTACCCTCGAAAATAATTTCCGGTGGCCATCAACAATAGATTGTTACGGATATAATTTATCCGCATCGTCGGTAATAGTTAATTAGAATCTGTCTGTGTCGTCGCGTGTCAGCTGATCACAATGAACTAAAATAAACAGTTGTTCTGATTAGCTGCTAATTATAAACAGGTGGCAATAGCTGGTGATGGTCTAAAAAAAAATTGCCAAAAAAATTCTGGCAAAATACTTAATGTTTATCCTTTATTTCAGGGCACATTGGCTGACAACAGTGGGCAGTCCAGGCTGTGAAATTCATCACACGGAATTCACAAATTGGGAGACCATCCGACGACCCTCTTACGGTGCCTTCCAAATTCGATTTTAACGCCATTTTCACGACGAATTTATCCATAAGAGCTACGACCTGAACGAACGAATGTTATAATTACCCTGTAGCTTCTAATTCTCCTCTGTAATTACTCCGTAATTTTGTTAATTCCGGTAATTTATGTACGATTCGTGATATCAGCAGCGAGAAGTTAAAGATTAACTGTTGAGTTTCCGGGCAATAACTCTCGATGTGAGGGAGTTACTGAAATTTTGTGGGGACCTTTTTCGCAGCTCTCATTCCACTCTACAAAAGAGGTCCCAACGAAAAACTGTCTATCTCTCTTAGATTCCGCGATATCCCCCGAAAACTAAACCGAGAAGTTAATCAACTTTACCTCTTCGCTACTGATTTCAATACCTCAACACCTGATATAGAAATAATATTTTAAGTGAATAGTATTCAGCCGAAGGGCATCAGAATTGTTCGGTGTTTGAACGAAAATTTGTAATTCAGTGGTTGAAAAATAATGAGAATAAAAAAATATTTTTGTTTTTTAAGAGAGGATTTTAATTATGTAATTGAAATTAATTATTTTTCGCCTTCCTCGTCAGTCTCCAAGTCTTAGAAATTTTCCTACTCAACAAAATTTATAGAACACAACAGATAGATTAATATTCTATAATTAATTATCTAATATTTATGATACAACAGATAATTTCGTTATAAATGCTCTTCATAGATGAATGTTGCGTCGAGCATCAGCTGCGCTATGTGATAGTCTTTATGAGTCTCTGGTAGATATCGTGCCAATTTTTGAATTAATTCAATTGTCGCATCGTGAGAGCTGGTGGACATTATAACGCATTGAATGTTCAGTTGCTCTAGGTAGTGGGTAAGGGATGGGCTGATTCTGGACACCTGCTCGAGGAGAGATGGAGTCTGAGACAGATAAATCATCATCCTTCGACCTGCCACTGGTAGCAAATTCACAGCCAAGGATTCCGTGTTGTTTATTGCCATAGAGATCTATTGCAGAGAATAATTACACGTACAGAAGAATATGCCACACCGATGGTTCAGTAACAGACCATCGTAAGTCCCGAAGAAATGGAATTAATGGAAAATTGATAAAAATTTCGAAACTTCTATTTTTATTCGGGGGCTTTTTTAAATTCCAAAAATTTCATGAAAAATGTGATGTATAATAGCCACGTCGGTAAAATCGCAGATTAGAAACCATAGGGTTGTGGATTCAACGCATGCGCAGACTTTATTTTTTTTTTTTACTTTTTTTTCGGCCTACATCCATTTGTGATAAAGATAAAAAAGAAGTTCATCGTGCATGGCGAGGGAATAAGTGAAAAATAATTACCTCGTCCGCCTGCCTATCGAGCCCATTGACATAAAGCTGATAAACCTGATGAATCCTGAGTTTGTCCTTATCAATCTTCCAAAGTGCAGCCATGGTCTGGCACTTGGCCATCCAAGCGACGGCTTCAGCATCACATGCATCTCCAGCTTCTTCCTTCTGATGAATGGCCTCAATGGAAGCCGTGATGACCTTGCAGAGGAACTCCATCCTCATGCCATCCCTTTTATCATCCCTGTACCAAGCCAAAACGGTCTTATCCGATATATCCTGAAAGAAGTACTGATTGCTGGCAGAATCGAACAAATTAACCATGAGCTTGACACTCTTCAGATTAAATCTCGCAACCATATGAAGAACATTAGCCAATTGAAAGTGCAGCATAACTAGATCAAAGCCTGCCGGTGGCTGCGTCAGGGCAAGAACAGTAAATGGCTGTGGGGCGCTGGAGGTACCCTCCCAGAGCTCCTCGAATCTCATCGCCACGTCGTTCTCCTCATCGACGATCTCAGAGTCCAAAAAAATATCCAAAAGGCTCACGCAGTGCTGAAGGAACACCGTCAGTTGGCAATCAGACAATCCAATCTCCTGCACACACAGACGTTCCTTAGGCAATTTCCCCAGCTTATTCATGAGCTTCGCAACAGTCTCCATCCTCTTCTTGACGTGAATATTCCAAAGGAGACAGCAGACTCCGTGTCTCATTCCCTTGGACGGGATCTTCCTCAGGACGTCTAGGGCAGCCTTCAGAGCCTCGAGATCCGTCACATTCTTGCTCCAGTGGACGACGAACTCCCACGCTAAATTTGCCAGCAACACAGTACCGGTGAGACTGTAAGGGAAGTGCTGTCTTAGAAGAGAGATCTTCTGGAATATTTCCTTCAGAATTGGATCTACATCCAATACATTTCTGTCTCCCTTACTTCCATCATCCCCAAGATTTTGTTCCATTCTCTGGGTATCTTCTCCACTAGAAGACGAAGGATCTTCCACCATTGATTTTTTCTCACAGAAGTTTAAACTCTCTTCCTCGATGAGGGCCTCAGGATCGATCCCAGAGGACGACAGCCACTTGGCTACAATTTCCGAAATCGAACCCTTCCCCCTGGAGATGACGTACCCCATGGACACGTCGATCTTCTGGTAAGGAAGAGCGTAAAATTTCTTGTGAGAGTTCTCCAGGAAAATTGGCTGATTGGTGATAGCATTCAGGAGTGCGACGTCCTCGAGGTTTCCGATGAGGAGAGTGAACTGACATGTTTCATTACTGAGGTTCTTCCACCCCTCGGGGATCGCTCCCTTCATTTCATAATTGGAGAGCATGTCTCTGCGGTTCTGCTGGCGGATCTCGACACTCCTGCAAGCTAGAGCAGCCGTGAGAGCTTGGAAAGGCCTCGATGAACCCATCAGAATCCCTCGGATATCCACCCACCAAGAAGAGATCTCTCTGTCATCCTCTGAATCGTCAACAGCCTTCAGATCGCATGTGGTATGCAGTAGCTGACTGAATCGACTGAGCTCGACCTCCAGAGGAGCCCCTGGCAGTTTTCGCAACCAATAAACAAGTGCCAGCTCCACCAGAGACCTGGGGCGAATTCCAGAGTCCTCAGTCCACACCTTCCACTCATCTGTCGACTCACTGGAGTAAATCCAGCCTTGACAAATCAGAGTGGCGATCTGATATTTTTGGTCCTCACTGAGGCCCTCCCTCAGGCCAATCGAGATCTGAGGCCCGAAGTCAAATGATGATATGAAGTTGAAGAACAGTTCTCCGTCGTCCTTGAATGTCACCCCTTTTTTGTGCACGTGGGATTTGACTGATTCGAGTTCGGAGAGATCCCTGGAGAGCTGGAGAATCCTATCCACCTCCTGGTGGGACGTCAGGAGGGCATGGGCAAGGTCTTTCGTAACAGGAACACAACTCGAATCTACAGTACTGTACTCTGGAGGTTGATCGAACCACGGCTTAACGTTGTTGTAGAATCTGATGACCTTATCCAGCTGGGTAATGACCCTGTAGAGAGTTTTTGCCTTGGGCCCCAGCTCGTCGTAGTCGACCTGTAGCAAGGCCCGGGAGAAACAACCAGTGGCTGCCCACAAGCCGTAGGGGGTAATCCGTCGATTACCCATTAGCATCTCGATCACCTGGAGTCTTACCTCGTTGGTATTCAACTCGGAACAGATCTCATCCACCTGAGACACCAGCGTCTCCTCATCGAAGTCAATTTCTCTCATGAAAGTCTTCAGCTTCTTGAACAAGTGGATGTCTCTGGCGCGCTTTCCATTCTTGCTACCGAGAGCGTAGTGAAAGGGCACGGTTATATTCTTCAGTCCACCCATGGAGTCCAGGAATACGCACGAGTGCGGTCGCCTGCTTTGGACAGGGTTAGTTGTATCGCTCACCCCAAGGAGTCCGTAATTTATGTAGATGAGACGACCATTTTTACTCGTTGTGAATGTCGTTATCTTACCGCCCTGCTGCACCCCCCAGACGTCGATGACACTCTTCTTCGGAGCGTAGATGACCAGGAATAGAGCAGTCTTCAAGGAATGTCGAGAATTGGTCCTCTGGGTTTTATGGGTCTTGTTGCACACAGAAAGGTCACCGAGTGCGCTTGATCTGTTGGAATGTTTGTCCTCTGAGACCTCGACCCAGCCGCACTGTGCGTCCCTATAGCCCTTCCACATCCTCAGCGCAAGACCCTTCCTGTTGTCGAGCAGAAGGACTCGTCCCATGCCATCAGCTACAACGGAGAGGGCTCTATTGGGGCTGGGAACGAGACAGTCGCCCTCCCTCATGACATCGCTGAGGGCAAACCTGCAGGTCATAGACTCAGGGGCTTCCGCTGCAGGTCCCTTTCTGTCTTGTGGTGGATTTTGTTTGGTGGGTTTGATGCTGGTCCTGAGCCAGGGCACAGCAGTGCCAATTCTACCAATGGCGCTGGCCAGAGAACTCGCCATAGCGAGAGCCATGTCTGACAATACAGGTGCAGCCCCTCCTTCCAGGGCATAATGAAATCCCAGGTAAGGACGTTTGCCTGTTGCTATCGTCAGGCTGTGCTGTGGCGCTGAGGACCGATAGGAGGCGTTGAAGCCACCACAGACAGAAGCTGTCATCAAATGATCAAAAGTATTCACTGAAGTGGTGCCAACGAATTCGCAGTCATTTATCACGTCCTGATCCTTGAATCCAAATTTTCTCAGGGGCAGGGACGCGCCATTTGACACCTCCAGTGGTTTTTCCAGGGAGTTTGCCTGCACCTGCGCCAAGTGGTTGCGCCGTAGACGAAGGGTAGAGAATAAAGGGAATCCCGGGAGGACGCAGATGGCGCTGGGGTACAAAACGTGGATTTCTTCGGATGGGGACGTGTCCCCGTGACCTGCAGGTGATGACTGGCATTTTAAGGAGATCAGGGTCTCTGGGTGCAGTTGTTCTTCCAGAAGGAGGCATCCTAGATCTGTGTAGAAGCGGATGAAACCTGTGCTGAAACCCACTGCGATGCACGTCCAGTCAACACCTCCGGCGATTGTGGACTTCCCCAGGAGACCCAGGGGCAGGCATAGCACTGAAGTTATGTATTCACTGGTGTCCGTTGTCAGACAGCCACTCCAGGTGGTGCTGAATTTACTTTTCACGTCCCCTGGCTCCTGCAGGTCCCATTTTGATGTCAGGATCACGATGTGCTGATGAAGAGCCAGAACCAGGACGTCACCGACGGAGGAAAGGGACAGCAGGCAGTCCTGGAGAGGCAGTTCTTCTTTCGGGACGTGATCCACTATGGGACATTTTGGATTATTTACGGGTACATTTTTTTTTCATGTTTTTTAAATGGGTGACCGCTCAAAATTTTATTCAATAATCATATTACCTCTCCAAATATTTCAAAAAATATTACATGTCATTAAAATATTACAAGTTATTAAAAATATTACAAAATATTACAAGTAATTGATCAATTGTTTAACGGGTCACTCTTAAATCATATAATTACATTTATTTTGTTACACTATTCCTAAATAAGGTTTTTTAATTTTTTATAACAACTGCCCGTTTTTGTGGATTATTTTTTACATATGTACGATTTTTGATTTGCAGCTCCGATCGAGGAGAAAGAGAAAAAAATTGAATTCTTACGCTTCGTGATGGCATTTTGCAGTAATTTAGCCCTGATTCCTTTAAGATCAGTCAGATATGCAATTTTGCTCATTTGACAAGACATCCCTGATTGTTGAAATTCTTTCACTGTCTATTATGACAAGTTGGGGTTACTGTCAGTTGGTATTTTTGTTCTGTTGACTGATGAAAAATGGACGTCAACTGCACTCGTCAGCTGAGACAAGCCGCATACACATGGCAGCGGATTAAAGATCATTTCCATGGAGACTGGAGTGCAGTCGGAAAAGCCGCGAAAATTCAGCGGTGAGTTTAAAATTTAATATTTTTTAAATAACTCATTTAATTAAAAAAAAATTAGGGGAATTGAAAATAAAATTGAGTCGTTTCATGATATTTGTGGACTTATACGAATTATTTAAATTATATTATTGATGGATTATAGAAAATGTACAGTCAGGAGGAAGGGGAAGGAGGAGGTTCCATATATCTAGACAAATATTTATATAAAAAATTACTACTTTTATGTCTTGAACGGATTAATTATTAATGCAACCAAGTTTCTAAACTATGTGAATTATTTTCGACAAGATAAATTCAGAAAAATTGATCTTCCCATCAGATCATTCGGAAAAATTTGAAGGTGTTATTATAAATAATTACCGATCTTTTTAATTTTAATTCATACCTCGGGTTTGGGGAGTTTCCTCATTAATTACTCGGGAAACATTTGAAGGAATCAACTGATTCGTCAGTTTTTATAATTTTATTATAATCTAGTGGACGAATACACGCAGAATCACATTTTCGATAAAAAATACAATTTTGAACGATTTTTCGTCTCCCTTGCTCTCAAAAAACATCGCAACCCTCAGAAATAAAATAAAAAATGAGAAATACCCGCGGTAAACCTCAGGGAAAAGTTATCCGATCCCCAATACGCGATTGCAGAAAGTAAAATTTTTATTAAACCTGCCAATAACCTTCGTGCAATTTCTCTCCCTCTCGTATTATTTTTACAACCCGTTTTACGACAGACGACTTGACTTTTTTTTTCTCTCCATCAGTTTTGTGTTGGTGAATGACTAATGTCAAGTTCCAAAGCACCAGTGGTTTTTTTTAATGGCCCGAAGAAGTCGAGGGATCAGGAGCAAAATAAATTGACTCCAAACGCGATTATCATGCCGCGGTCTTCCAAATTTGTTATTGTTCTATTCTCACGTGGGTCTCTGCCCATCAAAAAATGTATTAAAACTGCCATTCAAGCCAACCCTGGACACTTTTGACAGCCACAAATACGATAATCCATTGCGGTGGTCTTTGTTCATCTCGAAAGACAGACGCCTCGAATATTCCGATGCATGGCTTAAAATTTATTGTAAAATTTAACCTGACGTTTAGGAATTGTGTAGCCTCTGGTTCTCATCTTTTTACATTGAGATTTTAGCTAGAAAATGATACGTCCCGTAATGAAATACAAAAATGCCGTTTTTTCTTTGAATTTTTACTTGAAAAAATGGAGTCAATGGCTTTTTTTAACGAAATTATTTCGAAAAAACTATTTTCAAAACGAAAAATATTGTCTTTCTTTGAAAAAAAAATCTTTCCTAAAATCGTTGTGTAATTGTTTAATTAATTCAAACACTGAACAATGGATTAAATGAAATGAATTAATGAAATTCGATTAGAAAACTGATAACTTTCGACTCGCTCCAACGTCCGGTTGAATTTTACTGTGAACTATTCACCTTTGACACTAAATAATGATAAAACATTGAAATTGATTTATCACGGGCATTAAACTCACCGAAAATTCGGTAAACAGCAAAGTTGGCATTAATCCAGTGCTTTCTGAATAATTGAGAACAACTTGTACACATCCTTAGAGGCATGCCACCTAAAATTTCAAATTAACTCTTCCAACAACTGCATCTAGTTCCAAAAAACATGCATCATGATAGCAATTGTAGCCACGTAGAAATAGACGGTAGACGATAAATAATGGGATAAAAATTACTCGTTAATCCCTTCACTCGCACGTAAGTCAGTGGCATAAATTTATTATACCTACAGTTGTAGAATATGTGCAAGGATAACACCGACTGGCGCCATGGGTCTTGCCGACACCATTCCAAGGAAATAGAAAAATAACAAAATATATACCTGTGACAATGGAAATGTAATTATGAGAAATGATGGTGTAAAGCGTGTTTACTGTTTCATTAATAAATCGGAATTAATCGAGTATTGAAATTTTCCCGCGTAATCCGACGATTTTTATGTTCTCGCTTGAGCAACACTTTGCATTTTTGATATTGTTGCTATTTTTTTAATACGGATTTATGAGGCAATACGGAATAATATATAATGCCACGGTCTCGCGAGTGTAAAATATTAATTGAAAATATTTATTTCTCGGAGAAATTTTAGGGAGTTTTGAGGGGATGGTTATGATAATTGGAGTTCTACAAACAATCTCTTGAAAATTGTTTTTGTTTATGATGTTTTGGGGGAGTATCTGGGAGATGTTGTTTTTTGTTGATGGAGTTTCATCATTTTTTATTTATCTATAAGGACTTCTGTATTTTTATCGGAATTTTATTGGACATTTGTTTATAAAACGGTTGCTGGGGATTTCGTATTTTCCATAAGAATTATCGGTCATGAATTTTCCAGTTTTTTATCCTAGGAAAAACTTTGAAAATTTCGTTCAGGAGATTCTATAGAAAAATTAAATATCTTTTAATTGAATCACACGATCTAATTGGATAATCTTTTATAGAGATCATCCAGAAAATTATATCTTGAAAAAGAATTCAAATAAAAATTCAGTAGATGAATACATAAATAAAATAAATAAACGCTATGGAAATTTTTACGCTATGGAAAAATCGGTATTCCCTATTTTCAATATGAATTCCCTAGAATTTCTTAGAGGAAGATTTCCGTTTTTATTTTTTGTTTTGTTTGGACTTGGGGCAGTCCTTGTAATGTGACGTTTTATCGTCGGGTAAATGACAACTCGTGTCTAGCTCATTTTCTTTATTTGGGCCCCTGAAAAGAGTCCCAGGTAGATTGAGTCGCATCTATACACAACTATTAGCCGACCATTAGCTCGAGACCTCCTAGGGTTCATTTTCAAGGGATACCGACCCCTGGCCACCGCTTCTGTCCAACTTTTTTCAAATACTTTTTCTCCATTCGATATCTGAGATAATATTCAACTTCTACGATTTTCCATGATCCCCCATTCGATTAGATTTTCGCAATTTTCCACGGGTTTTCTTCTTCAAAAATTGGGAATTCCGTCTAGATGTTTTCTCTATATAAAAATCAAATCTATATCAACATTTATCAAAAATAAATAAATATTTGAGATAGGGCTGTAGAAAATTGACAATTCTATAGCATTCCTCAAATTACTTGTAAAAACGCGAGAAAAATTTCTTGGTATGTACAAAATATCCAGACGCAGTAATAAAATTAATTCTATAAATTTCCTGTAACGCAAAAAAAATCTATTGACAATTGTTGAAAAAATTGTTGTGTATAAATTTTTTGAGGCGAGAATTCGTGGAGAATTTTCCGTGTAGTTCTTCTCTTATCACCAGGAAGATGATCCTATCTTTTTGAGGTGTAATTCTGCAATTTTTATACCTCCGGAATTTTTAACTCCCCAATTCGCGGAAATATTGATATGCGCGATAAAAAAAAGTCAATGGCCATTAATGCATTCATATCTCCAGAGACTTATGTTTTCATGTGGTGAGAGATTCTATACTCTGTATCGTTTTTTTTTTAATCCGTGAATAGCCGCTCGGTGAAATGTTAACGTATCATATAAATAAACTATTACGGGACTTATAATCTAAATGGATAGACTTGTATCAGATTGGGCATTTACCTTGTTCGTTTCACCTCATTAATTATTTAATGAAATAAAATGTGGTGTACCGGAATGTTAATGCAAGCTCGTTTCAATAAAAAATCGATCGAAGTGGATACGATAACCTCATAAAGTCGCTGAGACGTTCCCGAGAAATCGCGGAAATTAATTATCATTTATTATTTATACATTTATTGGTGACTATCGGGGCACAACGGGAAAAAACTGCAAAAAAAAAAAACAACGGGAGATATTTCTGCGGCTGTTGGAGAAGAAATTGATGGGGAATTTTTATTTCAATCTTAAAGTTCTTCAAAAAAACGAAAAATTCGAGTTTTCACTATTTTTTTTTACATTCGTCAATTTATTTTTCTATAAAATAAATTCTGTACGGTAAAAAAAATAATTTTGTTAGAAGCACAAATTTTTCCAGAGCGATGATTTCCAAATATTTAAAAGAATCCAAGAAATAGATAAATCCAGTCATCCCTGATGCTAGATAAATTCCTCCAGACTAAAAAAACCAGTTTTCTCAAATCCTGAAAATCCGAGTCCTGAAGGAATAATCCCGCATAAATAAATAGGTCCCCGTCGTAAAAATGCGATTTAAAAATCGGCAATGCGTCAGACTATTGAATACTCGGATAACAATAAATGTATCGGTATATCGGTAACTGGATCGAATGACAAAATCGGATACGGTAATGTCCCTTTAATGCCGTGGATACAGACAAAACAATTTTATCCCACGGGTGCAGGGATTTCGTTGAAAAAAATAATAGAGTGTCAAAGATGATTCAATAGTCAACCGAGATTTCATCCTTAGGTGGTTTGGAAAATTGAGTGCCCTGAAACGTCACTCTGAGCTGAGCCGCCACCCGGAGACGCGTTAATTTGCATTTGCACGCGAGCCGGCTTTTGCCTTTTACATCCCATGTGTGTTACGGTTTTCTCAACCACTCGTTTCATATTTTTTTTTACACAATTTTTTTTCCCCTCACAAGGTGTCCTTCTCACTCCCCTGGTATCCGTATGATCCGGTGCAGAGTAATGCCGATGCACTTGAGACGAGCTTGAGCGTATCGGCGATAATTAATAAATTTGCCGGCGCCGGGCGTCGCGTGTTCCGGTTCATTGCCGGCTTCTTATTTATTTTATTATTATATCTCCTTTTCTTCCTTTTACCCTCTTTTTTCTCTCGTCTGTCTTTCTGTCGCGACAAAATTATTAAAATACAAAAAAAAATAATAGCGGGGGATTTTATTATTTTTGGTGTTCTCTCGGGCAAATTGAATGTGATGCGAACGATGACACGGAATTCTCGAGCTGTTTTATTGCCTGATGTCGATGGGATTACTCTGCACGATTTTTTTTAGAGAATTGAATATTTTTTTAGAGTCTACATCCGGTGTTATTGCTTGTTAGATATTGTCATTGCTGTTATTTTGGGGGGATTTTTGAAAATTCAATTCGGGTGCAGATCTCATACAACTGTCTATTATGAAATTGTGTAAATACTCCCTCTTATAGGCATTATTATTTACAATTATTATTACAGCTTCGGTTATAAATATTCTATAGATCGTGGTATATAAAATCTAGAGATTAAAAAATTGTTAAGAATAATGTATAAAAAATAGAAATATATCAATCCTCGAAAAAAATGATGGGACTGCTCTCATCTGTCTATAGATAAAGCTGTAGAAAATATAATTTGACTACAATATTTCTATAAAAAAAAAAAACAACATATCTATAATATAATAAATATCTATAATACATAAAAATAAAATATAAATATATATAATTATAATATATATCGGAATGTTCTATAAAAATTCTATAGATTATTTTATGACCGATAGAATTATATATCGAATTTAATATAATATAATTTCTATAGAAATATTCTATGGAAATTTTGATGGACTTTTTTATAGCCTTGAAAATAATTCCAGAAGTCTTTCTCGGTGTTAAAATCCCCTCCCCAAAATTCAATACCCCTTGCCTATAGAACTCTCCGAAATCCTCACAACACCAATTTACCCCCCTCGGAATAACCCCTCCCATTACGATACACTCGACACGCAAGCTAAATTAAGTGAGAAGTACCGGATTCAGAGCTTCTGCCTCGTTTTCTCATGCATACCCACTCAATCCACCCATGCATTCATTTCAAAATTGGCGTGTACAAAATATACGAGTGGGGTAAACGTTTTCACCAGTGCGAATTCTCTTGATTCCAGGTGTAAGGGCCCGGAACATTTCAAAATTTATCCCGCGTTTTTCCATTATTGGGGGACATGGAAAATCCAAGTACAGCGGCTCGTTAATTTCCTCATTAATGTCTTAATTAATTTGGTGGATAATGGGGGATTATTTGACCTAGGGTAGATTGAGAGAAAAATTTCTGTATGTGTGGACCATGCCAGCCATGAGAGAAGTCAATAATTTTCCATTTCCATTTTCCGTTTTCCATTTTTTATTTTCGAGAAATCCCACGTGATAGTCTATTGATTCAATTAATTATTAACCTGCTTAATAATTAATTTAATCAATTGACTAATTACCCAATTATCAATGCTTAAATACATAATTTATCTATTTATCTTTGTTTAAACATTGAAATAAAAATGCATTGATCAATGAATATTTTGTATACAGCAGATTAAAAATATGATATATCACTATATAATATATCGAGTATAAAATATATTCGAAAAAATTCCTGGAGAAAATAATTTCCACTCTTAACATAACAATTTATTTATTTATCAAAATACCAAAATACAAATATCTTGTGATATTATTATATGATATATCTGTAAAATATATTTGATTCATGTATTTTT